TATTTGTTTATAAAAATGAAAATAAACAAATGACAATCACCTTAGAGGCAAAAAAGAAAAAAAATACCCAAGACATTTCCAGTATGGCTGAGGCATAAGAGAGAGAAAGTAATGTGACCTGAGGCTGAAGAAGTTGTCAGGGTTCAATCATTTAGGCACAGTCACAAACTCAGATGCCTACAGGTACTAGGTAGGTAACAGAAACAGGTTTACTAAGTTGAATATAAAATAACAGGTGATGGCAGGGAACACAGCAGATGAAAAGGGTAGTCAAATCACATAGCCACTACCTGTCCCAACTGATTACTGTCAGATTTTCATATCATCTAGAGAATCAGATATCCTGGATTTTATTTGAAATTTGCAAATTAAAAAGAAACTTACATGCCAAAATAAAAAACAAGACTACAAACCAAGATATTCTGCAGGCCACTAGTTTGTAATGTCTGTCATAGAAGGTCATATAAAACCATGTTAAGAAGTTGAAACTTTACCTTAAAATTAATGGAAAGCCATCAAAGGAATTTAAATAGTAAACACATAATAATTGTTGTAGTTTTTGGACTATAATTCTAGCTAGGGCCAATAATGGAGGTAGGATAACCAGTTAAGAAGCTACTGTGAAAGTCTAGGTGAAAGCAGTGGGGATAGTAAGAAATGAGTTCTTCAAATTTTTTTTGGGTGGGTATAATTAATCTACAATTACATGAAGAACATTATGTTTACTAGGCTCCCCTCTTCAACAAGTCCCCCCCACATACTCCTTCACAGTCACTGTCCATCTGCATAGTAAGATGCTGTAAAATCACTACTTGTCTTCTCTGTGTTGCACATCCCTCCCCGTGCCCCCCACGCACTATACATGCTAATGAGTTCTTCAAATTTTGTCTTAAACTACTGTGTGAAAGGATAACTGGAGAAAAAGTGGGTTTGGCAGGCTGTTAAAAATCAGATACTTACACATTTTAGAAGCATTAGAAACAGATTCATTCCTTATCCTTTTACCTATAACACCATTTCTGATATTATACTATGTGGAAATTAACCAAAAGGGAAAAAATTATACAAAGACACTCAGTTATACCATATACATTAGTGAAAAACTGGAAATAATGCAAAAATGTTAGCTGCATAGTTAAGTAAATAAATTAGCATATTAACATTTCAGATTTTTAGACTAGAAAGTATGCTATGTGGACCTGATGATAGATGGACATGTGCATATGAAATAATTTTTTAAAGGTCATATTTATACATTACCACAAATACAGATATGTACAATAATAAAGATCAGAACAGAAAATTTACAGAAGTATAAATTATTGAGTGTACTGTTTATTAGTTTCTCTTTATTCTTATGAAAGATAAAGGTGGGATGCCATGTATCTGCCTGCAAATCAACAAGTTGGCCAAACATCGTCAGTGTTCTTAGGATGCAAAGACTTTTCTTTTAATTCCTACCTGGTAAATGATGGAATTCAGGGATGCATTTATCACCACAACACCATCTTTCACGGCTTTTACTACATGGTAAGATCCATTCATAGTAGTTAGCTGCTCTTCAAAGTACTCCGTTGGGAACTGGCACATAATCCTGAGGTTCTGAAAATTAGCCCAACCCAAAGAGAGATTTTTTTCCCTAAAGCCATCTTAATTACAAAGCATTTTTTTTTAAGTGCAGCTATGCATTCTGGGGATAAAGAAACAAAAACAAAATCTTTGCTCTCCCCATGAAAATTCTAAGCTGGAAAGATGCAATTTTAAATGGTACTAGTTTTTGAAAGATCATTAATGACAAGTAATCAGAAATGGGAAGTCAAACTTGGTGTAAATGTTAGTGTAAGTTCTGCCATTCTATAAGTTGACAATTGTCAGGAATAAAAAAAAAAGGACACTGGCGAGTGAGTACAACACTTTACATCTGATGTTCACACTATTGCTCTCATCACTACAAAACTGTGGCAAACACCTGTGAAATGACATTGTAGAATGAGGTTCCCCTCCAAAGTGTTATCATGGGTGCTCTCTCCAACTCTTTTCTATAATTCTGACTGAATTAGACAGAACTATTTAATAACAATAATAATAAAGTAGTAACTTGCATTTCCAAAGGTAAATATGGGAGAAAAAGAAAAATAAAGGCTTCTAGCCAGAAAAATGGTCCACTTACAGATTGACACATATAAGGGATTAGAAAAATACAAAACAGAAACTCACATCTGAAATATAGACTTTTGTGCTGCTTTTATCAAACACTTCTACTGTAATGACATACACCTGTCCCACCTCTAGACTCCATCGATCTCCAGGTTGGACTGTGAAACCTAAACACAAATCAAGAAACAAAATATTAGAAGAGGCCAACATTCTCCTACAATGAATTAAAAAATACAAACTTAAAAAAGCTATTCAAAGAACAAAACTCACTAATGGATGGAAATACTTTCTAAAGTAGATCCGTTAGTTCCCTCTATCAATGTATATAATAATTTGGGTTTCCAAAGATCCTGGCGTAATTTAGCCCATCTCAGATATAAGGAAACATTCTCACTTCTATCTGTATACAAAGACAAACCACAGTTTCGCCCACTCCTTATGATCTGGCAAGATTTTAACTTCTTTATGTCAGACTCATTTTTCATATGGTTATGGAGGTAAAGGATGGTTTTTAATGCTGAAATAGGTTAAGATGTTTAGCTTCTTAAAAATCATTATCTAAAAATACCTAGAAATCCAGGCTCTACGACATATATGGTGCAATCTGGGAGTCCAGACAGAGATCGCATATGGACATCTTAATTTTTGTTTAAGGAAATCATACGAGCTAAAGTTGGATGAACAGAGAAATGTGAGCTACCAAAGGAAAAAAATAATAAACCCACAAACAAAAATTTCACCTTATATTTTCCTTTGGAAAACAACAACTTAAATGTGTAACACTTCTGAGAAAAGTCTGAGGGACCCAATCACCACAGGACTCAGGTATTCTCGAACATCAAATTTGAGGAAAATGGAATGAGGGAGAAAAGATCATGCCCCATGCTCCTAATATTCATTTAGCTGCAAAACCCTTTCTCCAAGTAAATCCTTACATAGGAGCCCCTCAGGGAAACCTGGGCAGAGTGGCATTGCTCTGGCTGAAGGGATGAACAGTGCTGACAGAGTGGGAAGGAGGGGAACAACTTGCCATCCAGCCAGCAACTTGCCTTGCACTCTGCAGTTTTAAAAATCACAGTTGAACAGACAACAGACTGGTGGCTACCATAGGGGAGGTGGGTGTGGGGCACAGGTGAAATAGGCGAAGGGGATAAGCGGGCACAAAATTCCAATTAATAAATTAGTGATGGGAATGAAAGTATAGTATAGGGAATATAGTCAATAACTTCAATATCTTTGTATGTTGAGAGATGGTAACTACACCTACCATGGTGAGCATTTAGTAATGTATGTAATTGTCAAATCACAATGTTGTACACTTGAAACTAGTAGAATATTGTATATCAATTGTACTTCAATTAAAAAAATAATAATAATCACTGTTGATTTTCTATCACCTACAGCAAATCTTTAATACCCAACTGTTTTCTCTTTGCCATTGAAGATACTTCTAGGTCATCCATAAATCAAACTACCCACTATACCCTTCAGTTAAATTCTAGTATAAATACTAGTATAAATGATTCTGTTAGAGGTCTATAAAGAATCTAATTGGGAATATACTTTCCCAATATTTCCTCTCAAAAATATACTACATTCAAAAGCTGAGAAGAAATATGTAACTGAGATGAATGAACAGATAACACTCATTAATTCAGAGTACACTAATTTAGAAGTTATACCAATTCAGTCATGCACTAGGCTCCACTTTGTCACTACATTATCTATAGTGAAAATGCAAGCAAAACAATATTTAATCTACTTGGGGGATCAAACTTAAAACTGCTTCAATACTCCAAATGACCTATTGGTTTACATATAATTGATATGCCAATTAAAAATTACTTTTGTCTATTCATTAAAGCAAATCTTTTAAAGACTGTATAGGCAACTGACAATCTAGGTTTGGTTCTGATAAGCACTCTAAGATAATATTAATAAAATATAAGAACTAGAAGGAAGTTTAGAAATACAACATCCCCTTCATTTTACAGATGAGGAAAGAGATCTCAATAGGTCTCTAAACCAATTCATTCCTCCATTATCAGAATAAGATAGCTTCCTTCCACCTAATCCTTCCACCTGTGCTGACCCTCATTTTCTCTTGCCCCTCAGAAACCTTGCTCCCTCAGCTGGCCTGCTTTTTCCCCATATCTCTGCCATGTCTCACTGTTTAACGCAGAGACATGTTCAAGTTTCTCTTATCTTAAAAATGTTCTCCCTCACATCCCTCCCCGTGCCCCCCACGCACTATACATGCTAATGAGTTCTTCAAATTTTGTCTTAAACTACTGTGTGAAAGGATAACTGGAGAAAAAGTGGGTTTGGCAGGCTGTTAAAAATCAGATACTTACACATTTTAGAAGCATTAGAAACAGATTCATTCCTTATCCTTTTACCTATAACACCATTTCTGATATTATACTATGTGGAAATTAACCAAAAGGGAAAAAATTATACAAAGACACTCAGTTATACCATATACATTAGTGAAAAACTGGAAATAATGCAAAAATGTTAGCTGCATAGTTAAGTAAATAAATTAGCATATTAACATTTCAGATTTTTAGACTAGAAAGTATGCTATGTGGACCTGATGATAGATGGACATGTGCATATGAAATAATTTTTTAAAGGTCATATTTATACATTACCACAAATACAGATATGTACAATAATAAAGATCAGAACAGAAAATTTACAGAAGTATAAATTATTGAGTGTACTGTTTATTAGTTTCTCTTTATTCTTATGAAAGATAAAGGTGGGATGCCATGTATCTGCCTGCAAATCAAACATCGTCAGTGTTCTTAGGATGCAAAGACTTTTCTTTTAATTCCTACCTGGTAAATGATGGAATTCAGGGATGCATTTATCACCACAACACCATCTTTCACGGCTTTTACTACATGGTAAGATCCATTCATAGTAGTTAGCTGCTCTTCAAAGTACTCCGTTGGGAACTGGCACATAATCCTGAGGTTCTGAAAATTAGCCCAACCCAAAGAGAGATTTTTTTCCCTAAAGCCATCTTAATTACAAAGCATTTTTTTTTAAGTGCAGCTATGCATTCTGGGGATAAAGAAACAAAAACAAAATCTTTGCTCTCCCCATGAAAATTCTAAGCTGGAAAGATACAATTTTAAATGGTACTAGTTTTTGAAAGATCATTAATGACAAGTAATCAGAAATGGGAAGTCAAACTTGGTGTAAATGTTAGTGTAAGTTCTGCCATTCTATAAGTTGACAATTGTCAGGAATAAAAAAAAAAGGACACTGGCGAGTGAGTACAACACTTTACATCTGATGTTCACACTATTGCTCTCATCACTACAAAACTGTGGCAAACACCTGTGAAATGACATTGTAGAATGAGGTTCCCCTCCAAAGTGTTATCATGGGTGCTCTCTCCAACTCTTTTCTATAATTCTGACTGAATTAGACAGAACTATTTAATAACAATAATAATAAAGTAGTAACGTGCATTTCCAAAGGTAAATATGGGAGAAAAAGAAAAATAAAGGCTTCTAGCCAGAAAAATGGTCCACTTACAGATTGACACATATAAGGGATTAGAAAAATACAAAACAGAAACTCACATCTGAAATATAGACTTTTGTGCTGCTTTTATCAAACACTTCTACTGTAATGACATACACCTGTCCCACCTCTAGACTCCATCGATCTCCAGGTTGGACTGTGAAACCTAAACACAAATCAAGAAACAAAATATTAGAAGAGGCCAACATTCTCCTACAATGAATTAAAAAATACAAACTTAAAAAAGCTATTCAAAGAACAAAACTCACTAATGGATGGAAATACTTTCTAAAGTAGATCCGTTAGTTCCCTCTATCAATGTATATAATAATTTGGGTTTCCAAAGATCCTGGCGTAATTTAGCCCATCTCAGATATAAGGAAACATTCTCACTTCTATCTGTATACAAAGACAAACCACAGTTTCGCCCACTCCTTATGATCTGGCAAGATTTTAACTTCTTTATGTCAGACTCATTTTTCATATGGTTATGGAGGTAAAGGATGGTTTTTAATGCTGAAATAGGTTAAGCTGTTTAGCTTCTTAAAAATCATTATCTAAAAATACCTAGAAATCCAGGCTCTACGACATATATGGTGCAATCTGGGAGTCCAGACAGAGATCGCATATGGACATCTTAATTTTTGCTTAAGGAAATCATACGAGCTAAAGTTGGATGAACAGAGAAATGTGAGCTACCAAAGGAAAAAAATAATAAACCCACAAACAAAAATTTCACCTTATATTTTCCTTTGGAAAACAACAACTTAAATGTGTAACACTTCTGAGAAAAGTCTGAGGGACCCAATCACCACAGGACTCAGGTATTCTCGAACATCAAATTTGAGGAAAATGGAATGAGGGAGAAAAGATCATGCCCCATGCTCCTAATATTCATTTAGCTGCAAAACCCTTTCTCCAAGTAAATCCTTACATAGGAGCCCCTCAGGGAAACCTGGGCAGAGTGGCACTGCTCTGGCTGAAGGGATGAACAGTGCTGACAGAGTGGGAAGGAGGGGAACAACTTGCCATCCAGCCAGCAACTTGCCTTGCACTCTGCAGTTTTAAAAATCACAGTTGAACAGACAACAGACTGGTGGCTACCATAGGGAGGTGGGTGTGGGGCACAGGTGAAATAGGCGAAGGGGATAAGCGGGCACAAAATTCCAATTAATAAATTAGTGATGGGAATGAAAGTATAGTATAGGGAATAAAGTCAATAACTTCAATATCTTTGTATGTTGAGAGATGGTAACTACACCTACCATGGTGAGCATTTAGTAATGTATGTAATTGTCAAATCACAATGTTGTACACTTGAAACTAGTAGAATATTGTATATCAATTGTACTTCAATTAAAAAAATAATAATAATCACTGTTGATTTTCTATCACCTACAGCAAATCTTTAATACCCAACTGTTTTCTCTTTGCCATTGAAGATACTTCTAGGTCATCCATAAATCAAACTACCCACTATACCCTTCAGTTAAATTCTAGTATAAATACAAAATGATTCTGTTAGAGGTCTATAAAGAATCTAATTGGGAATATACTTTCCCAATATTTCCTCTCAAAAATATACTACATTCAAAAGCTGAGAAGAAATATGTAACTGAGATGAATGAACAGATAACACTCATTAATTCAGAGTACACTAATTTAGAAGTTATACCAATTCAGTCATGCACTAGGCTCCACTTTGTCACTACATTATCTATAGTGAAAATGCAAGCAAAACAATATTTAATCTACTTGGGGGATCAAACTTAAAACTGCTTCAATACTCCAAATGACCTATTGGTTTACATATAATTGATATGCCAATTAAAAATTACTTTTGTCTATTCATTAAAGCAAATCTTTTAAAGACTGTATAGGCAACTGACAATCTAGGTTTGGTTCTGATAAGCACTCTAAGATAATATTAATAAAATATAAGAACTAGAAGGAAGTTTAGAAATACAACATCCCCTTCATTTTACAGATGAGGAAAGAGATCTCAATAGGTCTCTAAACCAATTCATTCCTCCATTATCAGAATAAGATAGCTTCCTTCCACCTAATCCTTCCACCTGTGCTGACCCTCATTTTCTCTTGCCCCTCAGAAACCTTGCTCCCTCAGCTGGCCTGCTTTTTCCCCATATCTCTGCCATGTCTCACTGTTTAACGCAGAGACATGTTCAAGTTTCTCTTATCTTAAAAATGTTCTCCCATTTATTTTAAACTTCGACCTTGCATTTTTCCTTCTTTTCAGAACCAAGCTGTTTTTACTGACAAAGTTATCCAAGACTTCCTACTTCCTACAGGCTTTCAGTCTTTCTCTCTCTGCCTGTTTCACCTGAGGAACATTCTCTTCGTAAATTCCTCACTTGGTTAGCATGAAGCCTCTCTTGGTTTTTCTACTACCTAGCAAACATTCTTTCTGGGCCTCTTAGAAGGTTCCTCTTCTTCCATATGAACCTTAAAAGTTGGCATTACATTGTTCTATTTTTGATCCTCTTCTCCTCTTTCTATATTCTTTCTATATATACTCTCCCTAGGTGATTCAGCTTCAGTTACCACCTGTCTGTAAACTGGTATCTCTCAAATATCTATCTTCATCCTGAAAATTTCTCCTTCAGATGCATAACATAAATGTCTGCTTGGGCATCTATCCCACAGATACTTCAAATCAGTATGTAGAAAACTAAACTAGTTTTCTTTTTCCCTGCTTCTTCTCTTATATTACCAATCTCTATGAATAGTCTACCAGCCACCCTAAGCCAGGTGCTGGAACAAATTATAAATAGTTACCATCTATGCCCTCCAGAAAGACATATAAAAAGATAATGTGCATTTTAATATTTACTACTTATAAATAAGTAATAAATGAACTGAGATAAAAAAAGAAGATAATGTAAGTCAGCCTGAGGAATTCAGGGAAGTGCCTGACACACAGCTGGGGCTTAATAAATACTAAACAACTTAGTTTATTTTGTAGGCATTATTGTATTTTTTGACAAATGTCCTAGGCAACTTTAAATGACTACACAACTTTGGACCAAAAACCCTCCTTAATATGTTTTAGACAAATAATATAAACAGCTAATGAACACTATTGTACAAGAAATACCATACCTTAATTGCATCAAAAAGAATACCAAGGAATAAACCTAACCAAGGAGGTAGAAGACATTTATTCTGAAAACTGCAAAAGACTCATGAGAGAAATGAAAGAAGACACCAATAAATGGGAATCTATCCCATGTTCATGGATAGGAAGAATTAATATTGTCAAAATGGCCATCCTGCCCAAAGCAATTTACAGAATCAGTGCAATCCCTATCAAAATACCAACAGCATTTTTCAATGAATTAGAACAAACAGTTCTAAAATTCATATGGAACCACAAAAGATGCTGAATAGCCAAAGCAATTCTGAGAAAGAAGAACAAAGCTGGGAGGATTATGCTCTGTTACTTCAAGCTCTACTACAAAGTTATAGCAATTAAAACAATTTCATAGTGGCACAAGAACAGACCCATAGAACAATGGAACAGAAGAAAGAGGCCAGTTACAAACTCATGCACATATGGTCAATTAATATATGATAAAGGAGCCATGAATATACAGTGTGGAAAACACAGCCTCTTCAGCAACTGGTGTTGGCACACTGGACAGCTATGTGTAAGAGAATGACACTGGATTATTGTCAGACTCCATGCACAAAAGTAAACTCAAAATGGATCAAAGACCTGAATGTAAGTCATGAAACCATAAAACTCTTAGAGGAAAACATAGGTAAAAATCTCTTGAATATAAGCCTGAGCAATTTTTTCCTGGACACATCTCCTTGAGCAAAGGGAACAAAATAAAAAATGAACAAGTGGGACTACATCTATAAAAAGCTTTTGTACAGCAAAGGACACCATCAGCAGAACAAAAAAGCATCCTACAGTGTGGGAGAATATATTTGTAAATGACTCATCTGACAAAGGGTTAACATCCAAAATATATAAAGAACTCATAGGCCTCAACACCCAAAAAACAAATAACCTGTTTAAAAAATGGGCAGAGGACCTGAACAGACACTTCTCCAAAGGAGAAATAAAAATGGCCACTGGCACATGAAAAGATGTTCCACATCACTAACCACCAGGGAAATCAAATTAAAACCACAGTGAGATGTCACTTTACGCCAGTTAGAATGGCCAATATCCAAAAGACAAGAAACCACAAATGTTGGCAAGGATGAGGAGAAATGGCAACCCTACACTGTTGGTGAGCATGTAAATTGGTGCAACAGCTATGGAAAGCAGTATGGAGGTTCTCAAAAAACTAAAATTAGAAATACCATTTGATCCAGAAATTCCACTTCTAGGAATTCACCCAAAGAAAACAAAATCCCTGAGTCAAAAAGATACTTGCATCCCTATGTTTATCGCTGCACTATTTGCAACAGCCAAGATATGGAAGCAACCTATGTGCCCATCAGTAGGTGAATGGATAAAGATGTGGCACATATACACAATGGAATTATTCAGCCATAAAAATAAAAGAAATCTTACCATTTGCAACAACATGGATGGAGCTAGAGGATATTACGCTCAGTGAAATAAGCCAGGCAGAGAAAGACAAATACTGTATGACCTCACTTATTTGTGGAATATAAAAACAAAGCAAAAAAAAAAAAGAAAACAGAAGGAACCAAACAGCAGTAGACTCACAGACACTGAAAAGTGACTAGTGGTTACCAAAGGGGAGGAGTTAGGGTGGGTGGGTAGGGCGGGTGAGGGGGATAACCAACACAAGATTGTTCATAGATGATACTTCAGTTAAAAAAAGAAATACAGCACCTTTCAAGCCTAATGGGCTCTTACTCAGAATAAGATTACTAGGTTTACAGTAAATTACACCCTCCCTTACTCTCCTACTCTATTACCTGTCCTCCATCTTCCCCCTGCTTCTCTGTGCTGCAGCCTGTCTTCCTTGCTCTTCTTTAAACATGTCAAACACGCTCCTGTTTCAGAACCTTTGCAATTGTTACTTCCTCTTCCTGGAGCTCTATCACCCACAGACGTGCCCAGCTCATTGCTCCAATCTCACCTTATTGAAGAGGACTTCCCTAACCACCCTGGGTGAAATAGCAGTCTGTAGCCCAGTGCTTAGAAAAAGGTTGAACATATAATAGGGATATAATAGATATTTGCTGCATGAGTTAATTTCTTTCAGATTCAAATATTCAAAAATAGGGAATATTTCAAAACCAAATACTGAAAAATGGAATCCAAATGTTTCAATTTTCTGAGAACTTAAATCTTCATTCCATTTTGTTTTCATTGGCTACAATTGAGTTCTATATATTTCTTTGTTCAGTCCTTACAGAGCAGGTTGTGAATCTTTAAATATTACTCTCAACTCAATATAACAAATATTAATTAAGCATCTACTGTAGGAAATACCATCTTTTCTTAATTATTAATGTGAAAATAGGAAAGAACAAATTAAATAAAATTCATGCAAGTTCTGACAAACTGTTTTCACCAGTCTCCTAATTACAATTTGATTGAAGTTGCGAATAAGCACTGAAATCACAGATCACAAGTTCCAGCTACTCTTTTCTCTACCTACTGTTAGAAATTATGACAAGAATAATTTATAGTTCTTTGTTAAAAACAAAACATACAGAAAATAAGTGTAGTAGTATTATAATCACTCTTAACAAGTTGTTTTACCAAGGTATATGTCTAGCATGCTAAGGGAAACATAAAGATTGGCAGTTAAAACTTGAACAAAAGGATACTTTTATGAACAAAGACAAGATTAGTTTGGCCCAGCTGGATGGCAGTCACCATGGCTGTTTCCTCATCCAGTAAAGCCACTTTCCCAGTAAAAGACTTATTATTTGCAATTCTGTGGTCTTGCAATTCCAGTGTATAATGTTTTAGAGGAAATTCCATCTCTGTAAGACATGAAAGATACTTAATGTAACATGAGCAGCCATTCCAACAGATAATGGTGTATTGTTGGATTATAAGAGGAAAATCAGGAAGCAGGCATTAATGTAAGAATACGACCTATTTCTACTTTCCTTCCCACTACGGTGAATTTTTACATGTAGCCATTTGGGGAGGAACACTATATGAGTTTATTACTGGTATTGCTTGTATTCCTGAAAACCAGTGAGCTGAGAGTAGCAGGAGGGATTTCCACTAGGTAAGTACGGAAAGGATTAGTGCTGATGGAGTCAATGTACACTTGATAAACTCAACAGAACTTTGGGGTCAATATTAAGTTTTCAGTTTTAATGAACTGAGTTTCTCAAGAAATAGCTTTTGTAAAGATAATTCAAGTCCTTTCTGGGCAAGTTTCTTCACTTAGCCTATAAAAGCTAATAAATTTTTGGTTGTTTAATAGAGAATTCAGATGCCTATGGGCCTGGAAGCTAAATAGCTGAATTATATAGCATTAACCTGTTCAAGATATGGGGACTATGTCTGTCCATTTATTAGCTCAAGTACAGGAATGCTTTGTCACAAAATCTAAAAACACAAAGTATTTTGCATACATGCTTCTCTTGTTAGCAGAAAGGACTTGGGAAATGTTTATCATACAAAAAGGTAAACTACCTTACCTGTCATTCTTCCCTGAACCATTTTTGCAACTCGGTATTTAATATATGCACCTACTAAGAGATAAATGTCATAGGACGGTATAAGAAATATATTCTCCAAAACAAGCAGCCGTATCAATGCCGCCGCCACTTTCTAAAAGAGAAATGAAAAAAAACAAAGTTTCTGTAGGCAAAATCCTCAAGACCATCTTCCTAGTTAAGAGTTTACTTTATGTTTCCTTTTAAATAGTTTATGATCAAAAAATGTTTTCCTAATTATAAATCATTATTTCAATTAGGCTTATAAAGTGATCATGAATCTTAATACTATATTAACCTTCTAAGTCACTTACTAACTTTTTAAGTCACTCAAACTTAGAATAGAAAATGAGATTCTTCTCTAAAATTCGTATGGAACCACAAAAGACCCCAAATAGCCAAAGCAATCCTGAGAAGGAAGAATGAAGCTGGAGGGATTATGCTCCCCAACTTTAAGCTCTACTACAAAGTCACAGTATTCAAGACAATTTGGTACTGGCACAAGAACAAACCCATAGACCAATGGAACAGATTAGAGAGACTGGATATAAACCCAACCATATATGGTCAATTAATATACGATAAAGGAGCCATGGACATACAATGGGGAAATGACAGCCTCTTCAACAGCTGGTGTTGGCAAAACTGGACAGCTACATGTAAGAGAATGAAACCTGATTAAAAAATGGGCAGAGGATATGAAGAGACAATCCTCCAAAGAAGAAATTCAGATGGCCAACAGGCACATGAAAAGATACTCCACATCACTAACCATCAGGGAAATGCAAATTAAAACCACAATGAGGTATCACCTCACACCAGTGAAGATGGCCAGCATTGAAAAGACTAAGAACAATAAATGCTGGTGAGGATGTGGAGAAAGGGGAACCCTCCTACACTGCTGGTAGGAATGTAAGCTAGTGTAACCATAATGGAAAGCAATATGGAGGTTCCTCAAAAAACTAAAAATAGAAATACCATTTGACCTGGGAATCCCACTCCGTGGAATTTACCCAAAGAATACGTCTCAGATTCAAAAAGACATATGCACCCCTATGTTTATCACAGCACTATTTACAATAGCCAAGATATGGAAGCAACCTAAGTGTTCATCAGTAGATGAATGGTTAAAGAAGAGGTGGTACATATACACAATGGAATACTATTCAACCATAAGAAAGAAAGAAATCCTACCATTTGCAACAACATGGATGGAGCTGGAGGATATTATGCTCAGTGAAATAAGCCAGGCAGAGAAAGACAAGTGCTAAATGACTTCCCTCATTTGTGGAGTATAACAACGAAGCAAAACTGAAGGAACAAAGGGGAGGGGTGTGGGAGGGTGGGTGGGGAGGGAGGGAGAAGGGGATTGAGGGGTATTATGTTTAGTACACATGGTGTGGGGGATCACAGGGAAAACTGTAGCACAGAGAAGGCAAATAGTGAATCTGTGGCATCTTACTACACTGATGGACAGTGCCTGCATTGGGGTATGTTTGAGGACTGGATAATATGGATAAACGTAGTAACCACATTGTTTTTTCATGTGAAACCTTCATAAGTGTGTATATCAATAATACCTTAATAAAAAAATTTTAAAAAAACTGAAGGAACAAAATAGCAGCAGACTCGCAGACTCCAGACTCCAGGAGGGGACTGGTGGTTGCCAGTGGGAAGGGGTGTGGAGGGGGTGAGGGGGGTGGGAAGAGGGGGATTGAGGGGTATGTTTGGTGCACATGGTGTGGGGGGTCTGGGGGAGGACAGTGCAGCATGGAGAGGGCAAATGGTGAATCTGTGGCGTCTTGCACTGATGGACGGTGACTACATTGGGGTGTGGGTGGGGACTTGATAGTATGGGTGGATGTAATAACCACATTGTTTTTCCATGTAATACCTTCATGAGAGTGTATATCAATAATACCTTAATAAAAAAACAGAAAAAAAACCATATGATCTAAATTGAATTAAACCTGCCAAATACAATCTATTTTAATTTTTAATATATTTGTGAGTTAGTGCTCCCAAATTTTGGATCATAACATATTTTGGCACTTAACCAAACCCAAACAATTTCTGATTAAATTTTAAAATTATGCAACATAATGTTGCCCTTAGGAATCACTGAGTTGATTTAAGCACAACTCAGTGAAGGTGCCTACTATATAGAGCAATATGCCCATAATCAGTATTACTTCTTTTTTATTTTATAATAAGGTCTGCTGGGGGCGGGCATTGGGCATTGTGTATTTTCCTTGGTTCTTGTCCCCGCCACAACAAAGACTTGAAGGGCAGAGACACAGTAGTGAAGCAGAGTAAAGGTTTTATTTAAAGTTACTTAGAGAAAAAGTACAGGTGACCTCAGAAAGAGAGGAGCAACCTGAAAGGTTGGAGTTTCCCCCTTTTAAGGATTTTTTCAGGAATGTGTCAAGGAGCTAGGGGTGTGGACTTGTTAAGTGGTCTCTGAATGTTTAAAATTAACAATACATGAAATTTACTGCTCTGGTCTCCTTCCAGGATAGCAGCTTCCTGGTTTGGGAGCTTATCAATTAAGACTGCCTGCCCAGCCCCCCAAGGTGGGCTGAGTTATTGTCTGTTTGCTAAAGAGTAAGTTAAGAATCTTACTTCTTAACTTCCTGGGTATTAAAATGCAATCTTGTCTTTAAGATGGAATCCTTCTTGCCTTTTACTATGTTGCTTACAGCTGGGCCTGCATGCTAATTTAGTTGCCCAGGTTGCAAATTACTTGATTAGGGCTGAAGGAGAAAAAAACAGCATACAGGTAAAGTTTAAAAATAAGCTGGGCCTGCATGATTAATACAATAAAGACATGAGCTATGCTGAAGTACCTTCCTTCATCTGGAGAATATTCCAACATTCCAGGCCAAGTTACTCCTGGCTTTTTGAGCTTTAATTGATGAACTCATTAACTCTGGGTCTTTTTTTGTGGGCTTTCCTGGCCTTATTCTCTTTCCACCCAGGTCATATTTATTTTCCTGCCTAACAGATCTACGCAGTAAACAATCATGAAGTCATTCATGATTGGAAATTCAGAGAAGATATCTCAGTGTTCAGGAAGCCCATCTGATCTGAGCCATTTTCCCTCTCATGCCTCATGAATGGGTCACTTTGCCAAAAGCTTTCTGTGTTGGTCAATCTAAATGCTGCTGCTTCTTTTTTTTTAATTGGGGTGTCATTGACTTACAGTCTTATGAGGGTTTCAGGTAAGCAACACTGTGGTTTCAACATTAGCTCATATTGTCAGGTCCCCCCCAGCACCCCACTGAGGTTGCTGTCTGGCAGCACGGTGGGATGCTAGAGAGTCATTACTTGTCTTCTCTGTGCTGCTGCCTTCCCTGTGACTTACCTACATTGTGTGTGCTAATTATGGTGCCCCTTGATCCCCTTCTTCCTTCCTCACTTCCCACCTTCCCCAGCCCATTCCCTTTGGTAACCTCTAGTCCCTTCTTGGCCTCTGTGAGTCTGCTGCTGCATTAACATCATTTTTTAGAAAAGAAAAATGAGATGTGGTAGAAAAATTAAATGGCAGTGAGTAATTTATAAAACTGCAAATGAACATTACAGAGGATCCACTTCTAAAACCAACCATGTTCCTTAGCATTAAAATTCTGCCCCAAGAGGTAACTTTTACCCTAAAATTTTAAATACCTTCAATACTAAGGGCTCCAGAGGCAAAAACCTGCCATACACTTCTCTTGGACAAATGTGTATCACTTATGAAAGTACTGTGCCAACTCCGCCGGATTGCGAGCTCATGTCTTCTGTACTTGTTCGCTCCCTCACTGGATTTCACAGATCTGGTAAAATTCTCATGGACATTAAGGGAGCACTGCTTGGGCCTGGGTCTCCTTTCATAAATTAAAACCAAAAGAGACCTGGTATCTCTCCACATAGACCTACATGCTTTACAATGAGCAACCCTTGTTATATTCTATCACGTAAGAACTGGGAAAGGCTGAGAGTTCAACATTTTTATGTAAACCTGTCTAGTTTCATAATAAGAAAAGGTACTTAAATTTTTAAAAGAGAAAATCTAAGCAATTCCACAGGAGTGACAAAACACCTCAAGTAATGAAAGTGTGGCAATTTATTTTCTTCTTAGATTGTTCTTCTTTCCTGATATATAAGGTTTCTTAGGCACTTTAAAGTGTTGAAGGTTATCTCGTTTCCAGAAGAATGAAAATATACTGTAGTCAATTGATTTACTTAATTTTGTGTTTACTATTAAAAAAGGCTAGTGAACTGGAGGCCACTAAGTTACTTGAAATTCTGTAACTGACATCTGTTATCAGCCCCTAACTTGCCTTGTTTCTAAAAATTTATTTACCTTTTAGAAATCATACCTCAATCATGTTTCTAGGATCCTGTAAAGCAGGGTCTAGAAACATGTTCACACGACACCCAGAGACAAAAACACAAGGAGAGAGGAAGCCTCAGAAGAGGGAGATGTCCGGGCCCTGGTGGGCAGCAGTGGGCATCCCTGAAGCAGAGGAAAATGTTAAATCAGGAGATAGGGCCTCAGCTGGGATGGGTCCCAGCAGCTCTGCCCTGACTGGCCCTCAGACACAGAGAGGGGCCAGGCCTAGTCCTGTGCTGTCACCCAGGTTGGCTGCAGGGCCAGGTGGGCCTAGAGTGTCAGAGCTCCTGGCTGGGATCAGCCTTTCCCTCCTGCCCCGTGTGCCTGTACAGGTGACATCACTTCCTCCCTCAGAGCAGGTAGGGAGAGCAGTGCTCTAGAACCTGGCTGGCCTCCCCTCCCCCACCTAGCTCACCTGCCCTATTATTAGGGCCCCTGTTGCCCTTAGCGAAGGAACTCTGCAGGGCTCTGAGCCGTCCCCTCTGACCACAGACACTGGCACTCCGAGGCAGAGCTGTGGAGCCCCCGCAGCCATGAGGGCCTGCTGCCTGCCACCAGACTCATGTGCCAGCTGATCCTGGAGCACCTGTGGGGGGCTCTCCTGGCGATCGCTGAGAACTGGGGATGCCTAAGAAGACTCCTTGGAGTCCCCTGGAGGACCCTGGCATGTTGTGTGCAGATGCTTTTCATGGTAAGGAGAGCATGGAATTCACAATGCACCAAGGCTCAGGGCAGAAGCTGTTCTGCCACCATGAAGTACCTGGAAACCGTGGTGACACTGCAGAATGAACGACTCCAACCGATGACACCGGCAGGCCACATGCAGTGGAGGCCAGTCCTCCCACCCTACAAAGCCTGAGCTTGGCAGCAGTGACCACACACCTGAGCCTGTCCCTTCAGATCACTCTGGGCCTTCTGGCAAAGGGATGGGGGAGCCAACCTCCTACACTTCCCAAGGCCACTGATGAGAAACTGACCCTCAGGGCATCACAGAAGGATGGAGAACAACTTGGGAAGAAAATGTTGGATGACTGGAAAGGAAACACTGCTTTTCCAGAAAGGGCAGAAGTCCTTGCCCAGGAGACATCATAAGATGCAAGCAGAAGCTGAAGGAAAAGGAGGAGGACAAGGAAGGACTGTTGGGGTCGAACGCATGTGTGGAGCAGGACCTGAAAGAGGGAGTCAGCCAACTGCTGTCAGTGGCTGAGACCCTGCTCCACGCCATGCCCACCCTTGCGCCCCCGAGACATCATCTGGATGGCAGGAGCCTGGAAGTCAAGCAAAAGCGGGAACTGGGAAACTGCAAACACCCTGTCCCCAGGTCAGAAGTGGCACTGAAGGCTGACATGCATGATTCTCCAGCTGAGCAACAAGATAGCCGAAGACATGGGTAAAGAATTGGAGAGAACCAGGTCCTTCTACCAAAGGGAGTTCCTCTTGCATGAGAAAAGGGCTCAGAAAAGCTGGGAGGCAGCTGTGCAGACTGAGAGAGACCTCATGAACCTAAGAAGAGAAGGCGACCGCATCAGACAAATGCTGGCGAACGCCCAGGCCCACCTGCAGCCTTTCCCAAGTGGCCCTTCTGCTCCTGTTGCTCCACTTGCAGCCCGCGGAGGCCACAAGCTGTCACGGGATCCCCTGAATCCTCAGGCCACCCCCACCCCCCAGGAAAGAGGAGGGTGTCACTGTGAGGGCTCAGGGAGCAGGGGTGGCCTGCAGGTGTGACTCAGCTCACAGCAGCTGGGTCCTGACCACCCGCAGCCATGGCACAGCTCTGCAGCTGTTTCTGTCATTAAACTAATTTTGATTTCTTTTAGGTTTAGCTACTGTTATTTAACTGATACTACAATTCCCTTATCCAAGTAAGCATAGCATTATAATTTTAAGAGTATTTTTCAAATAAAGTTTCATTTAATATAAAAAAAAAGAAAATGACAGTCTTCTCAAGTAATGACTCTAAAGCATCTTACTACGCTGATGGACAGTGACTGTAATGAGGTATGTGGGGGGGACTTGATAATGGGGGGAATCTAGTAACCACAATGTTGCTCATGTAATTATATATTAATAATACCAAAATTTTTTTTAAATAAAAAAAAAGAAAATGACAGTCTTCTAAAGAAGAATAGGTAAGTGAAAAGGCCAGTATACTGAAATGAGAAAAGGTAAGACTTAACTGTATGCCACAGAAATTCTTTTAACCAACCTCTAGTGAACTGACTTTCCAAATTAAGTTACTTTCTAACCTCTGCTGAACATGTTGGTTGATTTTCGTGATAGCTTAACCCAGCACAAGGTTAGGAGGCTGCTCTCTAAGATGTCCACAGTTGTGTCCTGCCACTTGAATTAAAATGCTTACCAAAAGACATATGTTTTCCCCAAACCTATCTATGCCAATCGCACTTTTAATTATGTTTATTATATTTATACGATATTTAAATATATCAAATGTGTTTGATTATAATTACATTTTAAAAATTAACCATGAATGTGAAGAGACCTGTTGTTTCTATAAAAAAATGTAAATATTTGGAAAAGAAGTTAAAGGCAAAATAGCAGGAGACTCATAGACACTGAGAAGTGACTGGTGGTTACCCTGGAGGAGTGGGTGGCTGGGAAGGGTAAGGGGGATAAAAGGCACAAAAATTCTCAATCATAATATATGTTGGTCATGGGGATATTAGTACAGCATGGAGAATATAGCCAATGATCCTGTAACATCTATGTTGACAGATATTACCTGCACTAATGGGACTGTGGATTTAATAGTATGGGTAATAACTGTTGAACCACTGTATTGTAAACTTGAAAACAATATAAGACTGTGTATCAACAATGCCTGAATAAAAAATTAAAAAATAAAACAAAATAAAAAGGTAAAACCAAAGAAAAAAAGAAGCTAAAGGAAAACTGCTACAATGTGGTGCTATTAGGTGTAGGTGAGAAATGTAAAAGATTGGGAAAAAATCCTTGAAAAATATAAAATTTTGCTCTTAAATTGCTTCACACATCTAATTTTTCACTTGACCATAAAATGAAATGAAGAGAAAAAGGAACTAGAAGCTGTAATTGATATAAGAAAGAGCAGGTCTATTTCTAACATCTAAACTCATAGTCAAATAAAATTCTTGGGTGTACATCAGAAGATTGGTGAACAAAACCCAGTTACATGTTTTAGAAGGAAATGCCAGTTGTAATTGTACTTGTAACTAGGTAATAACATGATTAAGTTTTTTAATGTTTACCCACTTCAAATGACTTTTTCAATTAAATTGAAAGCTGTTGACCCAAACTATATCATCTTCAAGGACTTCTACTATAGACTAAATGTAAGAAACTATTTTGTATAGACAAGACTATTAAATGAAAGATTATAGCACAGATTTTTTACCTTATAGAATGGTTCATAAATTCGAACTTTTACAACAGCAGCACCAGTTCTAATCCCAGACACCAAAATCCTATCTCCTTGTTTCCCTTCTTTTTCCATCTCAGCTATATAGAGTGGGGGAGAATATTCTGCTTCAGAATACTTCAGAATCCTAAAAAGAGAAAATAAGGTTTGTTTCTAGTAGAATCAAACAATTAGTCTTCTTCCAAAAGGTCCTGAGAGACATTAAACATATTTTCAATGCCTATATACATTAAAACGTTTTAAAATTTGTTTTCCACAGGACTAGGCAGAGGAAAAGTATTTAATGTGCCTCTGGCTAAAACTGTTGTGGGACTAAAACACGGATTGTCTGAAAGCTATTTCTTGGTAGGAAAGGCAAAATTTCATTCTATTATCCACTCATTGTACTGAGCTCATGAATGTCTCTGCAGTGGCTCAAATTAGACTATCATAGTACCTACATCCATACTGTATGTCATTCCATCAGAGATATTTCCCCCTGGTAAATTTATTCCAAAAAAAGAATCCAGACAGCAGGATTATCAAAGCCCACACAAATAGCTGCTGTTCAGTGTGCCACCCAAAGGCAGATGTCTCCTTCAAAGTCAGATGGTCCGTGTTTGATTTCGAGGTTACCTAATTTTGCTAGACAGTTCTTCTCTTGCTGATTCGTTATCCTGGGCAACACTCCACTCAAACATCATCCCTGCCAAACTACTAAAAGTATTTCCTGTAGAGCAAGCCAAAAGCAGACAAGACAGAATCATATATTACAATATATTCAGGTATCTTTAACAAGAAAGGGAAACCTCACTAGAAAATTACTTTTAGTCTTCTTTTCATTAACAAATAGAAGCACTCTCACTAATGAATTAAAACACATATGCAGGAAGATCCTTACACAAACACTGTTCTTGATGCACAGGCTTTCTAAAAGTAAAAAGGACTCAATCTAACTTCTGGTTGACAAAAATTATGCCACTCTTTCTGTTCCTTTCTACCTAAAGGCTACCTGATGGCCTACTTCAGGCATGCCTAAATCCTGGTACTGTTAATAAAAAGTTTTATAAAAACTAGATTCCAGAACATTCCTAGTACAGTCACCTTTCAGATTTTAAAAATTGCTCTTTACTAGTTTACAAAGAAAGAGGCAATAAATTTAAATGTTTTAAATATATTATAATATTAGTACATTATATTAAAGACAATATAAAATCAGTCCCCAAAAAGATGAAGTTAAAATTATAAAACTTTTCATAGGTTTACATTTAATTCTCCTGGTCTATAGAAAGTGGACTGATCAAAACAGAACTAGCAAAAATTCCAAAAAAGTTTTTAATTGCTGATGGGGACCATCAACAGAAACTCAGTGGCAGAATTTGGATATTTAAGAAAGCTTCTGAGATAACCAGCAATGAAATATAGAGAAAAAATTGTGAAAGTATATAGCCAATACATTAAGCATATTCAGAATTATTAATTCCTCACATACATGAGCTTCATATGAGAAATATTATTTCCAATCTACTTTTATCTCTCAACTTGCTGTTTCCATGTGCTAAACACAAAGGAGTATTACTTTATTTTAGGTAATTCTGTGGAATCCTCTGAAGTTCTTTACCTTCAGCATCCAATGCCCTCACCATCAGTTCCAGGGGTGAGTCATCTACACAGAGCTCCCGGGTTCGAGATACAATTTCAATGCTGTCTATCACATCAACCTTAACATCACAGCGCAGTTCATGGTCAGTCACTACAATGAACCCAAAAACTGAGAATTTAATTCAACAAGTTATGAATCTATTGAATGTTTCAAACACTCTGAAGCTTATTCTAAATATTATGAAAAAGAATGGCTGTTAGAGTTGCTGTGGAAAAAACTGCATAATGACAAAATTTAAGAGCTTCTGTTTATAATAGGAGATACTAGACCAGTGGTTCACCAATTCTGATCTATGTTTTCATTTATTCATGGAAAAATGAGAAAAGTAAGAATTTTTAAACAGTGAGTGATAAAATTGTGTTCACTTTAAAGGAATATATTTTGTTCTTATATTCTATCTTACTTTTGAAATGTTAAAATGTATTTTCTTTTATGAAATTAATTGCAGTAGATTTTCTAAAATGTATTTACTTAGGAAAAAAGAGTGGAAACCATTCGTTAGTCTTGCTAATAAATTCCTCTCTTGTGCTCCTTATTTAGTCCATTTTTTTCTGGACCATGAGATTAAAAAACGTGGGAACCATGTGTTAGATACAACCAGAGTTCCAGTTAATATAGCCATAATGAAATTCAGAAACACAAACTGAAACAGTACAGAATAAAATGAGGATGAAATAAAATTTGTTTGGTACTATCTGTTAAAAATACTCCCACCTATCACATTACTGTGTGTCAGAGTACTACCTACATAGTCGCCCCATTTTGCTATTGTAACTATATATTTTTAGTCTTAGCTTCATCTACAAGAAACAAAAAGCAAAGTAACTACCACTACAATACCCAAAGTTTCCAATGGGCATCTGGGGTAAACTCTACCCTTAGCTGTGGATCTGCTTTTATGGAATTTTTAAATCAAAAGAGAATGTTAATCTGATGTAATACAGGAAAATGCCTCTCAAAAAAAGGCTAAGAAACATCAAAATATGATATTTAAGGAAAAGCTATACTTCCTTTCACAAGAAACAAAAACTGAATCAATCATCCTGAAACTACTGTATATTTACACTATGGTTAAACAGATAAGTAAATATATTATAGATAATGAGTGTCACATTTCTCTCTGCCAGAAAAAGAAGTTACCCTATGGTACAGGATTACAACTAAATATATCAGTATGAGCTCATGTGCTTTTTTAATATATATGTAGATAGACAAAGAAATAAATATGAATATGTGTATCTACTTGAGTTAGTACATACACATATACTTCCTAGCACTACCTGCTGAGAGAGCCTTGAGGCAGTGATACTCCAGTAGCAGTGAGCACACAAGCACCCAAATCTTGGTTTCTAAATACAGTTTTCCCACGAAGAGAATCAAGACTCCTTAAGGAAATGGCTGGTGGGGAAAAATACAAGCTCAGCCTGGCTCATCTTGTAGTGCAAAAAAAAGTACTAAAATTAATTAATTAACTAATTAATTAAGATGGGGGCAAGCCCAAAGGACACAGGAGTCAACATGAAAGAACTCCCAAGGGCCAAAGCTAGAACTGGAGTTAACAAAATAAATTACAATAGTATTGGATTATTAACCAAAAACAAAACAAATATTCATGAGTCCACACTTGTACAAATCATGAATGAATAAACCAATAACTAAGAAGCAATTTGTAAGATTTTTTTCCAGACACAAAAAAGGAGAATATCAAAAAAAATATCAAACACTTATGTTTCTCACAGAAAAACACTAAGTGTAGAAGGAATGAGGGCAATGGAAAACCACTGTTACAGCTCCATAGTAATAATCGCTACAGGCAAGGTACATGGAAAAACGCTAAAATTAGTGAGTGAGACTTTCAAGAAAAACAGTATCAAAGTATCTCCCCCAAATATTTATTAGTTATTGTGGTGATTTTAACCAATGGTCACAAATTCTTTAACACTACTCCTTCCAGTAAGTGAAGCTTAATTTCTCTTCCTTTGAATAGGGGCTGAACTTTGTGATAATTTTTAATGAATAGCCTAGGGAAAGAGAAAGATGGTAACTTTACAGTGGAGAAACCTCACAGCCACTACCTTAACCATGTGATCAAGGTTAACATCACTAGGGATAAATCATGTGGATATCATGTACCCCTTGACATAATGCAATGAAAAGGGCTTTTGATTTCTATGGCTTTCTGCCTGAAAATCTATAACCCAGTCTAACCATGGGAAACCAACAGACAGACCCAAATTGAAAAACACTCTACAAAAGAGTTGACCGGGACTCTTTGAAAGTGTCAAGGTCATGAAAGACAAACACTGAGAAACTGGCACAGATCAGAGGAGACTAAGGAAACATGCTTAGTGAAGGACAACTTAGTAGTAATGTGGTCTTTTGGATTAAATCCTAGAGCAGAAAAAAGATATTAATGCAACATGAGAGGAAACTATGCAAAGGGCATGTGGGAACTCTGTATTATCTTCATATCTCTTCTATAAATCTAAATCTATTTAAAAGTTAAATGTTTAAAAACTAAATTAATCTTCTACTTGATTAATATTTAAATGAAGACCAGAGCTTGATATGTGGCCTCAGGACAAGAACCAAGAGAGCTGAAATCTCATGGGATCTGCTGGTAGAATATACCATTCAGGAAGTGTTCCAGGGACGGCAAAGGAAGGGAGGATGAGTTAGGTAATACACACTAGGTAATTAGGCACTGAATCTAGCATGGATTAAGTGCGAAATTAAATCCCCTTATTTTATGGAGAAATGTGTGAGGCAATGGCAAAACAGAAGCAGCTGTGACCTTACATGAAAAATATGAAAGCTTTACATACACAATGACTACCCAAATGACTGACTTCAATAGCAGAAAGCTTTTCAGTACAGGGCTATTGAACATAAAGAAAAGAAAAATTATCTTGGATGATTTATAAGTAAATTTAGAGTACTAAGGAGAAATATCAAACACTTAAAGATAAAAAGCAACAAATAACTTTGTTAAATAATATAATGAAATTCTTATTTACATGTCCATATTACTTCAGGTATATTTCAGGTCCATACAGGAGTGAGGTAATAAAGAAAAGTGAATGAGATAGAGAGGAGGCAAGTCAATACAGGGAGATGAAGAAGAAAGGAGAAAACAGTAAGACAATGAAGGTAGGACTGAGAGAACCAAAGGGATGTAAAGCCAGACACAAAAAAGGAGCAGAAATGACAAATATTTGTCACCCACCCTGACTCCCATATTTATCCTAACTTCCAAATCAACTCCTCTTTATTATATGATCATAAGCCACTGAAGCAACTCATCAATCACTAAATATTTTCTGATCATCAACCACATGCTGAGCACAGTGCAAAAAGTACTCATTACCCCATTGCACTCTCGCCACCAAAATCATGCAATTGTCCAAACCCTTTCTTCATTCTCCATGTGAGCTTTTCACCGAAAATTATGCTTTCATCTGCAAACTCCTCTACCTGTCCTGTACCTAAAATTGAAAGTCCAGATTTCCCACTTACAAAAGGCATATTCATATATTCATAGACTATCTCTGGAAGGATAACAGAAAAGTGGTTGCCTCTTGCAGAAATGAGATTAGATTTATGATTCACTCAATAACCTCTTTTATAGTCTTTGAAGGTTTTACCAAGTGGAGGTAACATCTAGCAGAAACAAAACAAAAATCAAAAGAAATCTAGCAGTTTTACCAAATAGAACATGCCCACCTCAAGTCTCTCACCTCTACCCATCATCTGCCCGAGCCACTAATACTTTGCACTACACCACCACCAAAAATACTATAAACAAAATTCTAAGCACTCTAACCAGCCATGGAGTGCTTAAATCTTTTTACCTTTATTGATGCCTTATAGTTAGGCAATTCAATAAATATTTGTCAAACAAATCATTTCTCTTAGGCATGTACTTCCCAAAAAATGTCCCTCTCCCCAACCTCAGAGCATCCATGACCACTAAGATGAGAATGCACCTGGCAGGACACTGAGACTGGCATTTATCATTGGGAGTCTTACCTATGTACACTATTGTATTAATAGCAAAACTAGGGGAGTTAATTTAGAAGATACTTAACTTTGAAATTTATGAGTTAGATGAAATTAAACTGAGAGCCAGATGTGACATTTTCCCTAGCAATTGTGTGAATGAATCTTTTGATATCTGAATGAATTCATGTAGTTAAGAGTAATTACTCTAAAAATAGCACATGACTGAGGCAATGCTTCTTATTTGACTTTGGTATCCTTCTCTATCCACTGTAGCTACCCTGTGTGACATAGTCCTCAGATTCTCATCTTTGAGACTCTGACACCATACTTCATTGATTCCAAGACACTCATTTAAAAAAATTTTTGAACATCTCTGAAATTGAGATTTTACCTTGTAACTGATGACATCACACAATTGCTGTCAACCAGGCAGCAGTCATGACATGGTTGTCATTGACTGCAGATGTGAGAACATTAAAAGCACCAGCATCCAAACTTGTAGAATGAGAATGACTAGTTGGAAGACAATCTGCTGGACAACAGTGGAGCACTGTTTTATATCCTAGGAACCAAATGGTTAAGGAGATGGGGAGAAATGTGGTGACACAGATGTGCTAGGCACCTGTCCAGAGCAGGAGACAAAACAGTTCAGCTCTATATAACTGCAAAGCTCTATATAACTCTGAGCCCAATACTCAGAGTTTTTAAGTGTTTTTGTTTTTAATTGATTCTTTTAAGAAACACTGCATCACTAAGGGTCTGGATGGCACAGAGGAAGATTTTGTGGGGATAAACACAGACATCGACAATTCTCAGTCAAAAAGTGATTCAGATGAGGCAGAATGTTAAGATAGTTTTAGGAATATCTTTATGCATTTTATTTATATTTTCCTCTTTTTTAGGCATGAGTGATACATAATAAAAATAACCATCCAATTAGATCAAAGAGTTCTTCAGTAGGTAAAAGTAAAAATTCTGAGCAAAGAATAGTTTAGTTTTTCTTTCTTAGTGGTATATAAAAAAATAGCTTTACAATAGATGGTGTCTTCAATTATATGAAATACAGTATTATCAAACATCTTGAATTTCTCTTTAGTAAAATAGTATATCATTTTTCAAAATATTTAAAAGCCATGCAGATATTTCTGGCCTATTGATATGGCAATGAAGGGCCAGAAATTCAGGGATACAAAGAGCCCTACTTTGATGTTGGATACAAATAACATTTCTTGGATCTGCTCTAGTCTAAAATAAACTAGTGCCCATACTTTCCAAACTTTAGCATGCATGAGAATCACCCAGAGAGCTTGTTAAAACACAGATCCATGGGCCAAACCCAGAGATTCCTATTCAGCTGATTTGAGATGAGGCCTGCAAATTTACATTTCTAACAAGCTCCCAGGGGATGCTAATGATGCTGAAAATACAGGTTCACAGACCACACTTTGAGAAGTACTAGTTTTTATACTACCTTTTGCTTTGCTCAAGACCTTAACACCTAAGCTAGTTCCAGTAAATGCTTCCTTTCTTCAAACAACCGAAGTTTCCACTCTGTATCAAGTACATGCCAGGGACTGGATATAACAAAAAAAGTAAAGTTGCAGGCTAGGATGCCACAGTTAGGGTTTATATTACAGGAATTCTTTTTTCTATCTCTTATCATTTGAAGCCATCTATAAATGACATCAGATTATCCTACTCCAGATGAACTGTTATAGAGTGTTTTTCCTTTCTACCTACCTATCTCTCGAGCCAGAATAACACTGCTGAGGCGTATCGGTTGGGTAGATTCAGCAATGAGCACTGCTTTATGGGAACACAAGGTGCCGTTTTCATATAAAGGCTCAACAGTTACTGCATCGTGATGGGTGGAATGCCTGCCAGAATAAAATACTTGAGTATGAAATAAGAATGCGAGTTAAAATTAATTTTTGGTGGAACATAGATTTGTTATTTCCATGTTACATACTACCGGCTGTATTAAAGGACTACTTCAAGTAGAAACATCGCTTAGGGACCCAAGATTTACATGGAAGTGACTGAACAGAACCTTCTCCCAATGATGCCTTGTACAAAGTTACAGAAGTATTACATTCCTCCCTCAATATTTAAAATGATTGTTACATTCTTCCCTCATGTAAAAATAGGACTGATGTATTTTCAATAATGAAAGGGTGGCTTTCTCATACTCTGAGGAATGAGTTTCCTCCAACCATAGAAACTGGGTCGTTAACCTAAGACGGCAAAGTTGCCTACATTATGAGGTGTGAGTCCAACTCAAAATACACATACACACCAAAATAATCATCAATATTTTTGGATGGATAGAAGGAATGGCTTCCAGAGCTAGAAAGATTCCTTGCATCATTCTCAGTCAGGAAATACACCACATTGGGTCATCTTACCAGCCTGATTACCTTACACTTCCTCGTAAAATGGGAGGTGAACTTCTTACCTTCTGAGCAAACCTCAGTGCTTTTCTCAGGAGATGGCAAAGGGAATCTACTCCATTTAGGATGAACACTGATACCTTGGAGCCAGCCCACTTGTTAGGTTCCCACACACCTTAGTTAACCACACCACCCATCTTTGGGGCCTCTCACACCAGAAAATGTCTTTTCATTCTCAGTCAGGAATTCATCCCCTTGTCCTCACACTTCAAGAAGATACCATCATGAAAGGGGGGAAAACATGTATTATAGACAAATCTCATTTCTACCCAAAGTGAATTTTCTCAGATTACAGGAATTTTACACTTCATGGTCTCTTGGCCTCAGTTCCCTCATCTGTAAAATGAGGGCTAATAGTACTTACAAGACTGTAAAAATTGAATGAGTTAATACATACAAAGTACTTCGTTAAGTACACAGTAATTAGTTGTACTTTTAGACCCCTTCACACTGAATATCCCACCTTATTTAGCGGGGACCCTCACAACTCAAGCCTCTTTGCTCTTAAATAGATTTCCTCAGACCCTGGGAACTCCCTCACCCTAGTGTTTATACTGGAAGTCTTCACAGTTGGGTAGCCACCAATACCTGAGGCCTCTAACACAGGGCTTCCTTGTGCTCCGATGGCTGCTCACGCAGTGACTACCTCTACCCCCACACACAGTGAAAAAGCCACTCTCGTGTCTTGAGGCCTTGTCATGTAAGTACCCACACATAACCTTAAGATAGCCACACATCAGGCCCCATTAGGAAGGTCTGGCAGCTCTACCCCAACGGGCAAGGCACCCGCTTCGCTACAGGCCAAGTGACCACACAGCATTCCTGCGGTGATTTACATTGAGTGAACCCCTCTCAACCCCTCTCATCCCTTCTGCGGTGCGAGGGTGCACGTCCTCGTGATCCCCCACCCCCCACCCCTCACCAAGTGTAGCAGCCCCGCTCCGCCTCCAGCAGGAAGGGCACACGCCCTGGCTCCCGGCCAAAAGGCAGCAACACCCGTGGCACATTAAGTTTGTTGGCCAAGGTGCCAAGCAGAAACAGAAGCAGCAACAGGAGGTGGCGTAGAGGCAGGCACAAAAACAGCCTGAAGCCTCGAGGCCCTGCTGCACCAGAGCCAGTCATGGCGACTGTGGGCCTCAGGTTTCCGCTCAACGACAGCCACCAACACCAGCCAATCCGCAGGTGTGACGTCACCAGGAGGCGGGACCTTCTCCTGGCTTTGAATTGTGGGAACTTTTGTTCGCTCGTGAAGCCTTTCAGAAGCACTTTATGCATAAACCTGGCTACCCACCCAAAACAACTTTCTTGAATATTGGTGGCAGGTCTTTTTACTCGTCAAGAACAAAAAAGTCTAGAGTACTAATTACGTCCAGTTTAATTTCTGCTACCTTGTGTTTGGCTCTTAGCCAAAAAAAGTCTTGGTGGTGGGTGGGGGGGCAAATATTTCTAGTCAGCATTGGTCCATACTTACGAACGGAAAAATTTCCCAGTCGCTAGTATAAATAGCTGGACTTTGTCAAGGGAGCTGCGTCATTTTTACTAGTAAGACAGGTTCATGTCCAGTCTCAAGGCCAGAGTACAGGAAATGCCAGGCACTGGACTGGCGTCTCAAAGGCAGCTTTGAAAGCCACCCACCCACATAACCTGTCTTTAAGCAAACAGTCTTGAGACTCAGCACTTCTTGTTAAATTAACTTGTTTTTGCCAAATATCCAACAAATATCAGCTCAGTCTGTCTCAGGACACTTTACTTAAATACCTATAAAAGGCCTGGCACATAAATATTATTGTTAATGTTCCCATTTACCCTAATACATATGATCCTTATTTTACAGATGATGAAACTAAATGACTTGTATCAGGACACATAACTAAGAGTAGTCTCAGAGCAGGGTTTTAACCCAGTTTTGGTCTGCTTCCAAAGCATGAACTCTACATTCAATCCTGTTGCTGCCACCCACAAAGATCTGATTTTTAGCCCAAATTTCATAGTTCCTGTGGAGAAAGCCCATTTGGATTAGTAAATAAAAGTCAAGGAGGTCTGAGGGTTGGAGGGACTGGGTTCTTTATTTCAAAAAGACACTTGTCAATTTTCAGTATCAAAACAGTTGAGATATTTATTGGTTTCTCTTTCTCCCAATCGGCCCCTGAAGAGACCACACCAAAGGAGAGTACATTTTAAGCCAATAAGCTGCAGGATGCACAACTAACAGACCTCACAGAAACCTCACCCGAGGGGCGTTTGGGCAGGGAAAGAAACTTTAAAAGATTGGCACACTGCCAGCCCATGGACTATAGAGAGCTCTGCCAGGTAGGGTGGCCAGTGTGCCCCAACCCCAAAGAAATGCAAAGTTTCAAAATAACATAAAATTTAAAAACACTTTTGTACATAAGCTATTCAAGATTTTTCCAGCACTGATATGAAGCACGAGATGGCACTTTTAGAGACAGCAGCTTCAAACCTAGAAAAGGGAGATGAGATGAGTTTCATATGGCTAAATCAGTGGCAAAAACATAATTTTCTTTTCAAAGAGGCAAGAGGGCAAAAAGGTGGTCACCTCAACGTAAGGGGTATGTGATCCATTCTGTGAGTAGTTGGAAAGCAAGTAGAGAAACAGGACAAGGATTTGGTCTCAGAGGTTTCACTGTCTTAATTTATTTGGTCACATTTTTAGGGAAAAAAAAAGTTGCCTTGAGATAACTTAAAGCTAAAAACTTGAACAGCACTTATTTTTTTTTTTTTGGCTAATTCTCCCTAGAATCACCTTTCTCATTTGGCTGATACTTTATAGAGAGCAATGAGATTCCCTCAAATGGAGTCTTCCTCTGGGCTCTGTTTGGCTCTCAGCAAGGCAGGCCCATACCCCTTTCCCTCTTCTATGGAGAGGACAGTATGTATTGAAATGAAAAGTTACCTTCCAAAGATAAGAAAGGATGAGACTGCTGTTTCAGAACTGTGAAATTATTTGGAATGTTTTACAAATGGTCACTGTATCAACAAAAACAAAGGTAATTATAAAACGTGTACATCATGACATGCTTTTAAAGACATTTTGCATTGTGCTCACATTCCCTTCAATGTTGTTCCCAAAGGTGCTCTGCCTCTAGCCCAACTGGACTCTCCGGGGAGAGGCAGAGACGGTTTGGCGAAAAAGACACAGGTCAGAGTAGGAGAGGTGGCAAAGGGAGAAAGCAGCCTTCCAGTTAAAGATCAGCCCTCAGTTTAAAGGTCAGCTTCGGGCGGGCTGGCCTCAAGGCGGAGTCGGGGTCAGAGGGAGGAGCAACGGCAGGGCAGGGCAGGGCAGGACTGGGGTGTTCTACATCTCATTCAGGTCAAGCAGAGTCTGGTCCAGCATCCTTTGTGTACAGAGGTGCTCCTCTTTGGTGCATTTCAGTTTATCTAGTAGGGGTAAAGGAAAAATGTTACAACAAACTGGATGTGAACTTCAAGATCTACTCACTCTGAGAATTGCTCTTGTTGCAGGGAAGCTCAGACTAAAAAAGCAGCTGCCTTCTTAGCCACAGAAATGAGCTATTGCATCACTTGGTTTTGCAGGGCCTCTAGCTTGCTTACTGTGCTTACTGAAGTTGCAGGGGTTGCTGTCCTGCTCGGAGATGGAGTGTGGGGACCTTATCAGTCATTTCCTCTCCCTTCCACACCCAATCAAGGCTTTCAGCCTTCCACCACTGAAGGAGGTGGCCTTAAACATCAGCCATCCACTCTTTTAGGCTGTGCCCATAGGATGTTACCTACTTGAAATTACTCACTAGGCTCTGACCCTGGAAACAAGGATGGGCACATTTCTACCAGGAGAAACATCAGAATCTCAATTTGAAAAGCATACATGAGGATCCTCATGCCCTATCGGCTTTCCTTAAAAAGTAGTAAGGAAAAAAACAATTGGTGCTAAAGAAAAGAACTCCCATCGCTAGCCAAAGAATCTCTAAAGAAAACAATGCCAAAAATACTACCAAATGAAAATGTGCAAGCAAACCCTTGAGATTTTTGCAGAGCAGTTGTTCAGAACTAGCCTGACAGTTACTTACAATTAAACATAAAACCAGGAAAATGAAGCAAGAGGAAAATGTTAGGAAGAAAACCAGTGGCTGAACACCAAGGAGAATCTAATCTGCCCAACTAGCAAACCACTCTGACTGCTCTAGGGAGGTGGGGAGGTAACTCAAATCTCCCAACTTGGAGATGGTGCCGGCAACAACAGGCCTATTATCCCACACCCTCTTCTTCCCCTTCCCTTTTCTCCATTCAGTCAGAAGGCCCATCCCTGGGCCTGCAGATGAAGCAGTTAGAGTATCTTGTCAAGTCAGTCTTTTTATTATTAGAAAACATCCATACAAGGGAACATGTCCTATAGTCAGTGCACAAGTGGGAAGAGCAGCAAACAAGGGTGGAAAACAGAAAACTCCCAGGCTTTCTCACTTCATCTCTCAGGCACCTCCCCTTAGCACCCATATTCTCTTGAAAAGGGGCAGAAACACAGCATGAACTGTTCCCACTTGGTAGTGCTGTTAGGAAGTCAACAATATTCTACCTGCCCGAATTAAAGAGGGATTTGCTCAGGGCAAAAGAGAACTTTTTAAAAAGACAATCAGCTTTTGGCTGGGGTCCAGATCAGTGGTGTGAACAGAAAGTTCAGCTTAATGGGCATCATCAGCGAGCCCTGCCCATCAGTCACACAGATCATGCAGCGTTAGCTTCAGCTCATTAGAAAGCAGGCGGTTTCGCTCAAGTTGGCTGTAGAGATGCTCTGCAGCAGCAATGAAGAGGAGAGAAAAAACAGAAGAAAAAGAGGAGGAGAAAGAAAAAGGGAAGGTTAGTAGAGTACCAGAAGTAAAATTTGAGACTTTCAACTAGCTGGTATATGTAACATGCATCTGTAAGGCAGGATGGATGCAAGGAGGATTCAGACAGAGGGCAGTAAGAGTCAGTCTGTTGGTGGAAAGACCAACAGAGGAATAAACTTTTAAAATTCAGACTGACAAGTTGGAAGGACATTTCGTGGGGGAGAAAGATCTCCTGCACAGTATTTATTCCCTAGGTTGAAAAACTGAGACAAGTGAAACAAGGCAAAGGGAAGAAAACAGTTGGCTTATGAAAATTACAACAGTTAGGGTTTGAAAGGAACCTAAGTGAACTGCTGAACAATTTTTCTGCAAAATCATTCATTACAGCATTATGAACATACCTACATCCACCCAATCCTACACTTTCTAATGCTTCCTTTTGTAGGTGTTGGCTGATAAACCCATCACAGCGGTTTAACCAGTCAAAACCCAACTTCTCCTTTTCTAAAAGAACCCCAAACTCATCAAGGTCAACAGTGTCTATTCCCAGGGAAGGTGAAAATACTGGTAGAGGCCAATCAAGACTATCCTACGCTGTTCTTCAGCTTCCCTTGCAGCTAAGGCCATCATGTGACCCAGTTATGGCCAATGAAAGGTAGGGGTAGTTTGCTGGGGGCTTACTGGGAAAACTTCAGCTTTTTTTCATTCCTTGCACATATAAGTGATGACTAGAGTTGTGATTTCAACCCTAAGGGAAAGAGCCAGGGGATTCACAGAAACCCCAGCTCTATCAGGCCACAGTTGCTCAAATACAGATGTTTTATTATGTGGGAAAAATTAATCTCTTAGTTATTTAAACTACTATTAAGCTATTTCTTAAAACCAAAAGGATCCCTGACACAAGTTAAGTGCTCAAATGCCCTGGCTTTATCTGGATTTCCTACTTGGAGACACCTTAAAGAGTGGGTACATGAATCCAAATCCATCTGACCAGCATAGAGTAATGGGTATTTGGGGACCTTCCTCCTAGTCTACTGCAAGGAGAAGCTTCTCAAGTTCACCAACAACTTCCTATGTTTTATAGCCTGTTTCAAAGTGGTCTCAGGACCTATATGAAAAATACTTTTCTGCCTCAAATCAATAGCATCTATGGGCTGACTACTGGTTTTGCTCAGGCACCTTGCCTTCTGGACTGACATTCTCCCTAGTTCCACCTGCAGGCTGGGAGCCAGTATGATTCCAGTAATACTTGCCACTTTATGTACACTATCAGAACAGAAAACACATCAAGATCCTGGGAGGGAATAACCAAAAATAATAGTTGTATGAAGGGGCATAATTAGAGCAAACTTTTAAAACTGCACTTCCCATTAAACCAGTGGTTCTCATGAGTGATAGTGCCCTTCCTCTACTTGAAGAGGGAAATTTGGAAATGTGTGGAGGCAGGTTTTAATGGTCACAATAACCAGAAGGCCTACAGATACAGGCACACCTTGGAAATACTGCAGGTTCAGTTCCAGACCATTACAATAAAGAAATATTGCTATAAAATGACTCAAACGGAACTTTCTGATTTCCCAGTGCATAATTATGTTTACATTATACTGTAGTATACTGAAATCTAAAAAAAACCCTACATACCTAAATTAAAAATACTTTATTGCTAAAAATGCTAACCATTATCCAAGCATATAAGCTTTTCAGGTGATTACATATAAGTAATTACCATAACAAATATAATAATGAAAAGGTTTGAAATATTGCAAGGATTACCAAAATGTGACACACAGACAAGTGGGCAAATGCTCTTGGAAAAATGGTGCCAACAGACTTAGTTGGCACAGGGTTGCCACAAACCTTCAATCTATAGTATCTGCAAAGTGCAATAAAGTGCAGCACAATCAAACGAGGTATGCCTGTATTTATCGGGCAGGAGACAGCAGAAAGTAGGATTGCTCTGTATGTCCCAGAGTTATTCTGGCTTAAATGGTAAAAGTTCACCAATGAGAAACACTATACCAGTAGTGTTCCATGAGCCCTGGAACTGGCTTGTCTTATTCACTGGGGCATCCCTGGCAAATAGCAGGGCTTCAAATTTGTGTTTAACTCTCATTTCTTAAATTTTCTGTGGTGTTATATTACATATAGAGTCCATGAGCAACCTGACTCTTCTGTAACATATCTATCCAAATTACTGTGACTCCTATCTTGGGAAAGAAGGGTGTTGTCAGTATCTTATCCCTCAGAACAGCCTGGTCAATGAGGGTTTTGTTTTACTTAGGGAAGAAACAAGGAGAGACAGACAAGTGGGAGCATTTTATTGCCTGATTAAATCCCAGAATACATAGTTCCCTAAGAATCACATTAAGGCAGAAAAATATGTGTCATCGTTTTCTCACCTTGAACTTAGAAGGTTTCTAACTCTTATCTCTAGTGATTAAATATTCAGGACCACCCGCTCTTAAAAATCCTTGGGTAAAACAACAAATTTGACTGGATCTATACTGTTGGAACTCAACCAAGAATTAGGAGAAGTGCAAGTTGTAGCACTCCAAAATCTTACAACTACAGACTATCTACTGTTAAAAGAACATA